CTAGTCTTCCACGGTAATTTGAGATGTGCTACTCTTCGTTGGGAGCGACGATATGTCCCCAATGGCTTATCTTCGTTATTTATTGGAGATAAAAGTCCTTCTTTTTTCCCATTTTTACTCGCAATGACAATACACTCGACACAACTTTTAATAACCCTATCTACTTTAGAACGCAATTGTGGAATGAAAAATGTTTTCTCCACAGCCTCCATAGTTTTTACAACTGAGAAATGTCCCTATCCATGTGCTGTACGTATTATTTCTTCTTCCATCAATGTAGGAACCACGATTAACTCCTTAACGGGATCTTTAAAAAGTACATCCCTACTGACGTAAAAATCTTCATACTGGCCTTACTCTAATGCTTTTCTGACCGCTCGTATCCAGTCGTCTGTAAGTTGCGCCTGTCTAATCCGATGAATTAATGCGTCCTCCAACATAAGACATGAAACTCGGCTTAGCGCGTCTTCATGTTTCATTCTGCTACCACTTCGATGTTCAATGCTATAATCATAGTCTTGTAACAACAATGCCCAACGAGAAACTCTTGGTGGAACCTCCCGCTTCCGCAATGTCAACGCAAAAGCATTACAGTCTTTAATGATTTTGAACTTAATGCCTAATAAATAAGTTCTCCATTTCTTAACGGCCTCTACTATCGCTAATGCTTCCAACTCGTAAGAGTGAAACCGTTCCTCATTTGGTTTAGTTCTTCTACTCATATATTGAATAGGATGGAGCTCTTGGTCATCAACATCCTTCTGCAACATGACAGCTCCATAGCCGTTCATGCACGCATCGGTATGCACTTCTGTGATTGTCTTTGGGTTATACAATTTTAGCACAGGCGCTGTTATAAGTGCTCTCTTTAGTTGCTGAAATGACACCAGCTGTTCGTCCTGCAAAATAAACTTACTATCCTTGCACAAAAGATCTGACAATGGTTTCGCTACTACTGCATACCCTTCTACAAATCTCCTAAAGTAGAAAGTTAAGCCGAGAAATCGGTGTAGCGATTTCTTATCCGTGGGAAGGGGGAAATTGTTAACTGCACTAATCTTCCCTTCCGACGGCCGAATTGTACCATTTTCCACTACATACCCTAAGAAATCGACCCTTCGTTTCAAAAATTGACACTTGCTCCACTTTATGCGCAAATTGTTCTTTGCGGCAACTTGCAGTACACTTTCTAACTTCCGTATACCCTCTACTTCATCCTTACTGGGAATTATAAGGTCGTCCATATAAATTATTACGGTACCATCTGTAATAAGTTCTCTAAATACGGCAGCAATGAATCTTGTAAACACCGCAGGGAGTTTGAAATCCCAAAGGGCACGTATAGAAATCCATACTGGCCGTTATGTGTGGCAAAAGAAGTGTATTTTCTAGAATCTAATGCAACCGGCACATGGAAAAAACCATTTTTTAAGTCCAACGTAGTAAAAACTTTAGCTCCCTGCAGCTTATCGAGCACGTCATCAATGAGGGGCATTGGAAAATGGTCCCTAACTATTTTCTCATTGAGACGCCGATAGTCGCAGCACAATCGTTTGCTGCCATCTTTCTTGGAGACTAAAACCACCGGGGATGCGTAATCTGAAGTACTTGGTTGGATTATTTTTTCGCGCAACCATTCGGTAACTTGGTCTTCTATTGTGTGTTTATCCGCAAACGGTACCCTTCGTGGACGCTCATACACTGGATGTTCGTCTGTTAACAAAATTTTCATTTCCACTCGAGACTTCGCCCCCTTTACTGGACTGTACATGTCTAATAAATCGGTAACCCTAGCTGCTAAGGCTTGCTGTAGATGTGCTAACTCTACTTGAGACTTACTGTTTATTTCTGTTCCTGCCATCATACAAATATCTCCAAGCTGTTTTATCAAAGCAAGTCCATTGTCTTGATTGTGATCTTCAAGGTTAACTTTTTTAGCTCGGCCTGGACTTGTCACTTGTTCATCCAAAGGCAATCCTCTTCCTTTGCGCCTGAACTGAACTTCGTCCTTAGCCACAAACAAATCAACCTGATTAATATCTGCTTCCCGAGTTACATGGAAAACTACCTCTATTTCCAATCCATCTACCTGTATACTGTGTGTAAAGCTGCCTAACGTAGTAAGTTCGCTTTCTCCAATTCCAACAAGCTGTCTTTTATCTTTACTCAGCTCAATATCTCCTATCATAAGCAAGGTATAGTACCTCATAAGGCATATTTCGCATCCCGTATCAATAAGACTAGAGAAAACAAAACCTTTCAGTGTAATATCTTTAAAAAGTAGGTTGTTCCCCATGCAAGATTTCTGAAACCCCTTGTTTCCCATTGCATTTACATTGCTTTTCTCCAACTTAACCACGGGTTTTACGCCTGGACACTGTGCGGCACGATGCCCAATTTGGTTGCATTTAAAACATTTCAACTTTTGTGGGCAACTCCTTGCCAAATGAGAAGATTCGCCACATGTATAACATTTTCTAGGTACCGCTGCCTGCTCATCAGTAGAAACATTATTAACGCCCTTTTTCGATTCCATATTTACCCCCGTCGCAGTTGGCTTTCCACTTTTAATCTTCTCGTAGATCGCCATCTGCTCTTTTAACTCGCGCACTGTTTTTGCTTGATAAAGATTACATTTGCCTAGCTTTGTATCAGGTATTCCCTCAATAAAATATTCTATTAAGCTGCGTTCATCGAGATTCACCGGTTTTCCTATTTCCATAAGCGAGTACAAATATTCTCGCAAGTCTTCTCCTTGCCGTTTACGACGATTTCTGAGTTGCCTATGCACTTCAATTGCGGAAAACTGAACCCCAAATTCGTCAATTAACGCCCGCTTCAGTGTTTCCCAATTAATTATACCACACTGGCTTCGTATAAAAATCTTCGCTGCACCCTTAAGCAGCTGCTTCGAATAAATAAACTTTTGTAAATTGTTCCAATTTACAGCTAACGCGTTTTCTTCAAAAACTTCGAGCCACTTCTCTATCGTTGGGTGCCCATTACCACTAAATGAAACAAGAGAATCTTCTATATCCCTTAACGTGAATATAGATCTCTGCGAACCGACCTCGCCCACTACGCTGCGTATAGACACATCAGCCTCGTCATAGACCGAGTCATCGTCACCGCCGACAACCAGTCCCAAATGTTCAAGTAATCTCGTTTGTAATTCACTTTTCAGTCCACTGGTCGGTAATCCTAGCTTTGCTAGCTCATCCGTCAATTCAGCTTTAGTCAACCTCAAAATTGTTTCCTTATCCATTATTGTTTACATAAATATATCTTCAAATACAATATTTTACAAATAGAGTATGATTTTTTTTTTTTTTTTTAGATTACGAATTTAAATAGGCAATTAAGTTTTCAAGTACTTCCAGTTAATTGTAAAATTTAACATGTATAAAAAAATTTTAATTCAAATATCTTTCAAAAGGTTGTTACTTTCTACAAAAATCTATTTCTACTTTTATTCTACTTAGCTTGGGTTCTGCTTCGTTCTGCTGCTCAGTATTCGTTGTATAACTCGCGTTCATTCGCTAGTTTATTCAAAATGTTTCGTCCTGCGTAAATCCACTTAACCACTCGCACTCTTATTCTGCCGCTGCTATGTACATATACATACATATATTCACTACTGCACACTGCTTTGCCACACAACCGCTGCTGCTGCGTATCAAGTTATTACCAACTCACCTCGTCGCGCACGTTACCTTTGTATCATCCACACGACCGATTTCGTTTTTCTTATTCTCACCACCTTGCTGTTGATGCTACTGCGCTGTCTTCTTGCACAGATTTTTCTCTTTCACACAATTCCGTCGTATACGATGCCACTGCACTACCCGCTCGACCGCTGCTACTGCTGCTTCAAGTTTTTACGAACTCACTTTGTCGCGCACGATACCTTGTATCATCCACACGACCGATTTCGTTCGTTTTATTCTCACCACTTTGCTGTTGATGCTACTGCGCTGTGAAGTTCTTTTATTCTGTCACTGCGCTCACTGCGATTCCAATTGGAAACTCAACTGTTTTACTTGGAGCGCTAGGGCTCCGCTGCCTTTTTGCGTATGCGACACGCGCGTTCAAAATGTCAGTTGCAATTAGAATTTTTAATTTTCAATCGGAGCGCTATGGCTTCGCTGCCTTTTTGCACATACGCTTTGCCGTTTCACTGCTAACACAAACACGCACAGATTTAAATGTTCTTGCGCACTTTACGTTGTTCTGCACACTTCTGACACCAATTGTGGGGTTCGTCAGATATTCCAATAGTCAATTGAAGTGGTGCAAGC